CCGCACGTGTCCTCCCGCGACGCCGCCCCACCCGGCTGCGTGTAGCGTCCTGCGGGCCCCTTCTGCCTCGCACGACTGCAGTTTGTGGCTTTGCCGCTGTCGGTCACGCCTGCCTGTCCCCCTGGAGCCGGGGTCAGCGATGTCCCCGTCATCACCGGGCGGCGCTCGAGCGGACGGCGCGGTGGTGCTGGTCTGCGTGGGTTGCAGTTCCGTATTTACTGAAAACGTGCCGAAAGGGAATGAATAGGTTAATACAAAGCTGTTCACCCGTCCTTGAGATCCGATATGTTGGGCCTTGTCTAATATTTTTAAGAAACGCTGCATGCAAAAGTGGGTAGTCCCCCCACCCCTCTGTTAAATAGGAGATGAGGTCTCAGGAGACCCTTCCGGAAGACACCATCCTCATCCCCGACTTCCCAAGCCCAGCTGCTGGCCACGTGAATGCATGCGTTCTCTTTAGTGGAAAGATGAAGAGTCTTAACTTCGCTGGTAATTTCCTCTGAGTGGTTATCAAAGGCTTCCTCAGTTTAAAAAAAAGTTCTTTCAAGCTAAAGAATGATTCAAATAGAAGCGCTTACTAAATTTAGGAAGTAATGCTTGCAAATATTTTCAGTATGTTACTCAGTACTAAGATACAAATGAGGGGGTAATCAGCCCTGGAGCCTCTGGCCTTGCTGTCTTTTTTTCTTGAGGTAGGGTCTCACTGTAGCCCAGGCAGGCCTTGAGCTCACAGGGATCCTCCTGCCTCAGCCTCTTAAGAGCTGGGATCACAGGCACGATACTGCCATCACACCCTGCCAGATAATCTAGTTTTAAAAACCTGATGGCACACACTTGTAATTCTGGCTTTCAAAACTAGCAGGAAGATGGAAGGTTCAAGCTCATCATGGGTAACTTAGCAAGACCCAGTCTTGAAAAAAGAAGGGCAGTGGGTATAGCTCAGTGCAGAGGCCCTGGGTTCAATCCCCAGTACCAGACGTAAACAGACACACACACAGCCAGGATAGCATCTGCTCAGCCTTCAGATGTATGTGGTCAGTAGGAATCCCAAGAACCCAGTGCCAGGAAACCAAAAGTTGCTAAAAATCAAACCCACAGAGGTGGGGGAGTAACTGGGCTTCCCCCAATCTAAGCAGAAACCATCTCAGATGATCCAGGAAGGATCCAGGTGGCAAAGGACAAATGCATTTGCAGCCTGGTCACTAGGGTGCCTTGGAGACGCTTTCAAATCTTAGTTTAGGTTGTAAGAACAGCAAACAGCCTCTGCAGACCACCATGGAAGAGGCACAGGCTGCCTCCCTGAAATGCCAGATGCCAGATAATTTGTAATGAACACAAGTTCAAGCCGGCATGGTAGTACCCACTTGTAATCCCAGCATGCTGGGAGGCTGAGGCAGAACCCAACAACTTGGCAAGTTAGTAAGAATTTGTCTAAAAGTAAACAAGAGTAGGGCATGTAGCTCAGTGTGAAGGCCCTGGGTTCCATCCCCGATACTGAATAATTTAAACACCTACCAGGTGCACCCCACAGTGGAAGTTAAATGCCACCACATAGCACCTTGGGGACATGCTCAGCCTGTACTCAGGACAGCAAGACCCTATCCCATGCATGGGGACAGAACCCTCCTGAC